CATTTACGTTATACTTCAGTGCACAAGATTTTCATTTCTAAAAGTCTTAATGTCAAGCGGTGAAGTGTTATGGGTTGTTGATGAAAAATAAGGATGAAATTATCATATTTTGGAGGAAAGGTGATGACAGATGACAAATAAAATTGTTACTTAAAGACATACTATTCTATAAGTTACAAATTTATTTCGTTGAAATTGCGGTGATTTTTGTAAAGGCGCTACAGTAAACGAAATCGACTCTTCTACATAAAAAGACAATGCGGTAAGAAATAAATGGTGATTCTACTGTTGACTTATTCCATCCTTCAACTTTAGCCAACACGAAGTTGTCCAACCATGCACATATGTTCTCACCCGCAACAGATTATAGCTACAATTCATACAAAAAATGTCCTCCATTTGTTTATTTAACCGCATCTGCCGGTATCAAATACCGCGTGATTACCTCGCCTATCTGTTTTTTAATATAAATACAAATTTTATTATAAATCATTAACAGAGGAATACTTTTGCCGAGTTTTCTGTTAAAATTTGACCGCATATTCCTTTTTTTATAAAAATAAAGTGATAATTGAATTTACTTGTGCCGTGTAGTGGCGGTTAATTATATCCACTACCGCATATATTCCCGTGGGTGTCGTAAAAGGCCACAGTGGGAAACAGGCAGGAGATGGGCAGCAGCATCTTCCTGATAACAGCAATATTACAATAAAGAGACTACGGTTGCCAACCCGCTCGCCAAGCGTGGTAACTATGGCAAATATCCCCCATGATGAAAGTTACGAAGAGACGGCTCCGCTATTCCTGGCTATTGTGGCGACCATGGTAACGGTAACGGTAACGGGCAGGGGGTGCTAAGAATCACCGGTGGAGGTTCAGTTGCCACCTAAGACGACTCGAACTGGCAACATATAACGCATGCACCCTGAGGACTGACGAGAAGATCCTGGAACTGGAACAAGAGTTAAAAAAGTTACGCCGACATATTATGGGATTATCCGAAGTCTGAAAAGAGGGGGAGGACACGGTAATCCTTGAATCCGGCAACTTGTTCTATCACCGGGAGGGCGACCATCTGTCCCAAGGAGGTGTCGGATTTATCGTCCACAAGTCTCTCTTTAACAATGGTATAAAGATTGTGAGTATGTCGACGAGAGTGACGTACCTTATACTCAGAACCACCAAACGGTATTCGTTGAAAGTCATACAGGCTTACGCATCAACCTCAGCGGATCCCGATGAGGAGGTGGAGGAAATGTATGTGGATATTTCTATAACCAAGCATGACTCCAAAACCCACTATACGGTGTTAATGGGAGACTTCAATGCAAAACTAGGCACAAGAGAGAACGGTGAGCTGAAAGTAGGGATTCCTGTTAAAGTTATTGCGTCCATAATAGATGCGATCGCACCCCAAGTTGCTATTACTTTCAATGCGAGTGTTGAATCTGGTGTGTTTCCTGGTTTAATGAAACAACGTAAAGTTATACCTTTATTTAAATCTGGCAGTACATTAAACCCCACTAATTTTAGACCTATTTCACTATTATAATAGACAGTAAAATTTTAGAAAAAATTATTCTAGATCAAATGTTGTTTTTTAATGTAAATTAATTACTACATAACAATCGGTTTGTATTTACAAGGGGCCGCTCGACAAATGATGCCGGTGTTAAGCTAATCAAACATATTTCTGTGCATGGGAAAATTCAGAGGATTGGGTATATTTTGTGATATTTCGATGACGGATAGGTCTTAAGATGAACATGGACAAAACAAAGGTCATGTATAACGTCCATGTCACACCTATGCCGGTAGTTGTTGAGAGCACCTACTACTATCACCTAGGAGAAATAATCCAACTAGGGAAGTTCAACTTCGACCGAGAGGTCAATAAACGGATTCAACTGCGCTGGGCAGCGTTCGGGAAATTACGACACATCTTCTCGTCAGGTATACCTCAAAATATGATAACGAGATTGTACAACCAGTGCATGATGTCAGTGATGAGTTATGGATCTAAGACGTGGCCCTAAACTGCTGGCCGTAAGATGACGCTCAAGCTCGCTCAGCGAGTTGTGGAGAGAGCTATGCTCGGTGTTTCTCTGCGTGATAAACTTATAAATGAGTATGTCCGCAGTAGAACCAGAGTAACCGACATAGCCCAATGGATTAGTAAGCTGAAGTGGCAATGGGCCAGCTATATAGCTCGAAGAACCGACAAACGATAGGGAAAAAAGGTTCTCGATTGGCTGCCTCGTACCGGTAGGCGAATTGTAGGGTGACCCCCACTAGATGGAGTGATAACCTGGTAAGATCAATGGATGCAGGCGGCTCAGGACCGTGCTTTGTGGCATTCCTTGGGGCAGGATGTTGTTCTATGTTCAGCAGTGTACTAGTGACAGGCCTTAATTATGAATTAATTAAACTTACAATTCACGGATACCTGCAACAAACTTAAAAATAAGGATACGTCAGAGGATTAATCGTCTTCCGAACGGAACACAATTGTGCAAACCCTGCTATTTGGCTGCAGAAATGGGTAAGAGTGTGGTTCCTATCCAGACGGATTCCTAGGTAGAAAAGTACTCCTAACACCTAGTACAAATTACTTAATAACGTTTTTTGAACAATTTCCTTCACGTATTTGGTAAAAAATATCAATAATATGAAAAAAATGTATAAAATTATTAACAATTTATATTCGGCCGCAAATTTTCAATGAATTTTCAATGAAGTTATCAAATGAATTATCATGTTGTCTCCATTCCTTAAAACCCCCAAAAAAAACTAGGTATCGTAATATTAGGTGGGAAAAAAGATTCTTCGTATTTTATATACAAACTCAGGACATTTTTTTCCAAACTTTAATTACATTTAAGTATAATATATATGTGCCATTTTGTTCCTTATCTCGTTTCCATCTTGTACGTAGTGACATAATCCCGTGTCTGTAGAAATCTTGGGGTTTTTTTGATCAAAAAATGCGACAATTAGCTTTAACAGTCCTCTCTGGATGTTAACGTAAAACTACCCAAAGAATTCTGAAGAGACCGAAGCAGATAAAAATCTGCAGGTACAAGGTTAGGACTTTGGATGGTGGATGCATTAAAACTTCCCAAACAAGCTCTCATAATTTTTGCTTAGTGGCCAAAAATGTGTGAGGTCTAGCGTTTTCATGATGAAATTGAATGATGAATTGAATTTTTCTCAATTATTTTCTTGAGTCTCATTGCTTGTTGGCAGTAGAGATCCGAATCGATGGTTTTGCCCGGTGGTAAAAGCTAATAATAAACGATGTCCTTTCAATCCCACCATACGCACAGCATCACCTTATTGCATGTTGATCCGGGTTTCACTACAGTCTGTGGAACTTGAATACTCTTTGACCATAAACTTCTTTGCACGTTCTTATCATAGATATTCCACTTTTCGTCACCAGTGATCAATCTTTTCAAAAATGGTTCGGTTTCATTACGTTTCCATAAAGAATTGCAAAGGAGTACTCGATTCATTAGGTTTCCTTCAGTGAGCTCGTGTGGTATTCAAATATCGAGCTTTTTTACAGCCACAATCAAATGGGTCAAAACTCTTTTAACATCAATCCTTACTTCTTTTGCTATGTCGTAACTATTAATATGCCGATCTAGCTCCACATCTCTGCCTACTTACAAAAAGGAGACGGTACTCAATTCGACTGTATGTTTTTTTTATGTGTGTTACCTCATAACTTTTTACGGGGTGAACCGATTGCGATGATTCTTTTTTATTTGAAAGCTGGTTGATCAATATCAGACCAATAGTTTTTGAGTCATTCTTAATAACTTATATTGAAGTCGGCTGTACAACATTTTTAATTTTAAATTATTGAAAAAAGGTATCGACTTTATCCATATGATTCACCAGCGTGAGCTGCATCTTTGATATCAAAATTCCCGCCAACATTGTACTACTGTTATTGACACTGCATTAGGTCCATATACGTCACAATTTTTACTCGCACTTTTCCCTTTTTTTTTTGTAATAAAACTTCAGAATGTATCGAATTTCTTCGTTAGATTAATAGACTAATTTCAGCAGAGAGAAAGACAATTAAAAAATGGTGGGAAACTGTGTTTTACTTTTTATTTTTCCTTTTCCTCATGTACTATGTATTTTATTTATTTTAAAACTATCCAGATACAAACAGCCAAAGAGATTTTTCTTCAATTTTATACAAACTGTGTTACAAATACATATTTATATTATAATACTAAATGAAGCATAGTACATTGTTCATAATGCTAATCTCAAACATATTATTGCCAATTGGACAAATTATGTCGTTTGTTGACGTTTATACTACAAAAGTCTTAGAGTAAATACTGTACTGAAATAATATATTGAGTTCTACGACGTCAGAAAATAAATTCCGCTTGTCAAACGTCATTTCTTTAAATGTACTAAAACTACTTTTACCATTTAAAATATGTTTATTCTACCCGGAGAGGAAACGATGAAAGATACTCCGCATGTGTCCTGTTTTTTATTATTTGATTTGATTGATTGTACTATGTATATTACTACGGTAAGGCCAATGTCGAATACTTAAAAGTCTATGGTCTGTGCAGTTGCACAGACTAGATATTATCACTAAATATTATTTTTCTCTATATAATATATAAGAAGGGTCAAATGAGCATGCTACTCACCTGATGGTAAATGACTATCGTTGCCCATGAATAACTGCAACACCAGGATAATTGCAGATATATTGCCGGCCTTCTAAAAGGGTTCTTTTTTGAAGGTAAAAATTTTGTGAGATTTGTGAAATCATAGCAAAATATAATATTTTGTATATTATATATGTGTGCTTTATATATTAATGTGCAGTTGAAAGTGGAATATAGCTTGCTTAATTTTAAAACATAAAAGTTTAATGAATTACAGTCGAATTTCGACCACTAGGCTACCACTAGAAATTATTAAAATTTTAAACTCGACTTATTATAAGCATAGTGTTATGTAGATGGAATATTAATAATACTTACATTAGGCGTCAACAAGCCAATCAAATATGGAGTAATAATTCCTGATATTGCTCCAATTCCATTAACAAATGCCGAGCATGTGCCGGCATAATTAGGTGCAATGTCCATCGCGTTTATTTTCACGCTGCTATAAAATCCTCCCAAGAAAACCATAGAAACAATAAAAAAGCCGACGGCCTCAACTCGGTTGCAACCGGAATACAAGGCCAGAATTATAAAAAGGGCTGGCACGGAATAAGCTAAAGAGGAAAAAAAATTTCCTTGATTATTAATTGAGGGAAATTATTTCTACAAGTAATATTTAACTACGAACACATAATAGTATGATGATGATAAAAATGCAATAACTATTCATGTGATGGATAAAAAAAAAACTTAATGTTTTATACATACACAGCTACACAGCTCTTATTACTACTAGCTACTATTAGTGGAACGACTATTATATATACATAAAAACATAAGTTGTGTAAATTTATCTGTCTTAATATAAAACCACCTTAACGCCGTAGTAGGAGTAAGTACAACAGTGTGCAATATAAATTATAGTTAACAGTTCATAAACATGTCATTATCTTCCTCTCATAACTAATTTTTAAAATGAAATATAACACCGCCTGCGCCCATCGGTGTATTAAGTAAACAACAAGATCATCAGCTGACGGGGATTCTGTCAGGCCCACTCGACTTTTGGATGTCCAAGGAGAGGTGTGCTTTCCGTACTGAGCATTGTATGAATCGCACATCAGGAATGGTCGACGTTTCCCCCGTTATCGAGAGTCGAGTTAGATGCAAAAAAGGAGCCTAAAAGATCGGTTTGCTCTTTAGTGGCATGGGCCAGTAGGACGTCCTCCCTGTGCAGAGATGGAAGTAATGGCTTAAAGAAATTCCCTTGGACAGTCTTGGCGAGAGACGAGAATACACCGGTACCCGAAGGAAGGTGAACTAATTTCTCGCCAATTCTGTCAATGTGCTCATACTTTGCCTCCGTAATAAGTATTTTGAAGGTCCTGGAGGCGAATTTATACTGCTTTTTGGATGCTGCTGTTTACATCCCGAGCCACTGAAGCGTCAGCCCTGGTCTAATAACACTCCTGCTATTGCTTAATGCAGTCTTACAGGAGCGATCAAACCAAGGCTGAGATCTGCCTCCAATGGGTACCACAGACGATGGAATAAATAGTTCCACTTCCAGAAGCACCATATCAGTGACAGATTCATCAACAATGCTGGGATCATCCGGCGAGAAACAAACCTTCATAAGAGACGTGAAGTGAAGGACGACCCATATAAGATGAAGTGACCACCGGATATATATGCAGGAAGCCCATAGATTCAAGTGTATCAGGTCCCTGCTTTGTGGCATTCCTTGGGGGAGGTCTATATTCAGCAGTGGATTTTTGTAGGGCTATAATGGTGATGATGATGGTAGTAATGGGTTAACCTACCAATAGTAGTGTAAATTTTTCTTCCGGTACCGATACTATGCCATTTTTTTCTAATGCATAAATCACAGAACGTGGCAAATATGAATGAGCTGATGTACATCGCAATATGGGGTAGTGTGGACATTAAACCATTATCCATGATATTAATTTTGAGGACAGCGGAAAAATATTTTGGAAGATCTTTATTCATTGTTAAGTAACCCCAGTCGTGACTTATCTGTAAAGTAAAATAAAAATTGTATACTAATAAAACCGTTTCCGGAAATGATTTAAAGCTGAATAAACCTTTTTGAGGTTACGAATTTATTTATTTATTTATTTATTTACACTTTATTGCACCTTAATTAAAGGATTACAAAGGGCGGACTTAATGCCTTTAGGCATTCTCTCCCAGTCAACCCGGGACGTGTGGAAATTAGGTGATAGGTGACAAAATAAAATGAACAATAGAGTAAATCAAGGAAAAAAAAAACTACTGATAAACTTAAAAATAAACTAATATTATATATATAAATACAATAAACTTATATACTATAAAATATAATACAGACAATATATTATATTTACATACAAATATATAGGTACATAAATATATACATATTATAAATACAAATAGATATATAACATAAACCTATAAATAGAATAACAACAAAGGTAACCAAATTGACCATACTAACTATCATTAAAGTGCTTGTGAACCAATCTTTTAAAGGCAGTCTTATTAGATGTATTTCTGACGTCATCGGGTAAGGAGTTCCAGAGCAGTGCAGCCTGAATGGTGAAGGATTTACCAACAAAATTAGTAAAATGTAGTGGGATACTTAGTTTATTATTATATGAGGACCGCAGAGTTCTATCATGCGTTGAGGAAATATACTGAAATTTCTCCTTGAGATAAGAAGGAGTGGATGGATCATTTAAGATAGAGAAGAGAACAAGCAAAATTCTAGAGTCACGCCTCTGTTTAATAGTGAGCCATTTAAGGCGAGAGCGATAGTGAGAGATATGATCAAATTTACGAAGATTGAAAATGTATCTGACGCAATTGTTGAGTAGGCGCTCTAGCTTGTTAAGAAGATTTTGGTTTAAATCCGAGTAGCACACATCAGCATAATCAATGATAGGTAGTATAAGTAACTGTACAAGCATAATTTTAGTCTTAAAGGGGAGAAAATTTTTCAAGCGATGGAGAGAACGTAAAGACCCTGAGACTTTACGGCATGTTTCGGAGATATGAACCCCCCAGGACAGAGTACTATCAATATGGAGACCAAGATTTTTAACTGAGGAAGAGAACGGTATCAGACGATCATTATAATAGATGGGGGGTAGGCTAGCGGCATCTATTTTTGCAAGCATCCTTGAGCTACCCATAATCACCGCTTGGCATTTCGTAGGGTTGACAGATACTCCAAAGCGCATGGACCAATCACGTACTGACTTGAGATTGGAATTCAATTTGTTACTTGCATTGTGGATGTCACAAATGTCAGACTGTACATAAAATTGTAGGTCATCAGCATACAGATGGTACGAACAATCAATATTAGATGTGATGGAATTAATAAAAATAGAGAAGATTAAAGGAGAAAGTATACCGCCTTGCGGTACGCCAGAAATCAGCTCAACCCACTGTGAAGTCATTTGCTCCACGTGGACAGACTGTTGACGTCCGCGAAGATAAGATGAGATCCATTCCAGGACTGACGGTGCAAACCTATAATGAGAAAGGATAGCATCCATAAGACTACTACTATTCGTTCAAACTATATAAAAAGTTTCATACATTTTTTACTCGCGGATCGCGACATTAATGAAATAAAATAAAATAATTAATTAAAACAATTGAATTTATTTTACATGTTTTCCATCTTATGTACTTACGTAAGAATGTATGTGCATGCTCCGACTACAAGCCTATTAACTCTGATGTTCCACAAGGCTGCGTGCTATCACCAACGTTGTTTCTTCTGCATATCAATGATATGTTGCAAACCGGTAGCAGTCATTGCTATGCGGATGACAGCACTGGTGATGCTCTATATACCGGTCATGCCAATATTTTTCAGGAAAACGTCGCCGAGTACCGGAATAAACTTACACCAGTTTGTTCCGGTACTCGTCAAGTCTTTGCTGAACAAAGTCTTGGATTGGGGGCGACTAAACCTAGTCTAGTTTAATCCTCAGAAGACACAAGTTTACGCATTTACCGCTAAAAAGAACCCCTTTATCGTATTTCCTCAGATTCAACGAAATCCCCCTTGTTGCCCCAGCCAGTATCGGAATTCTCGGCGTTGACATATCGGGTGACGTGTAGTTTCGTGGTCACTTGGAAGAGAAGGTCAAACTGTCTCTAAAAAACTTAGCGTGATTAGCAGAGAGAACACAACGCCTGCAACTTTACAAAGCGCAGGTTCAGTCTCACATGGAATACTGTACCCATCTCTGGGCTGGGACTTCTACTTGACCGCATCCAGCGCAGAGCGGCTCGAATCGTCGACGACCGAGTTCTTTCCGATCGGCTCGATTCATTGGCGCTGCGAAGAGATGTTGCATCCCTTTGGATTTTTTTTCGAATTTACCACGGGGAGTGCTCTGAGGAATTGTTCGGATTAATCCGAGCCATCAAATTGCACAAACGCACATCACGACAGAACTCCCGACACATCCACACCATCTGGACGATTGGCGGTCCACCACTGTGCGATTTAAAAGATGTTTTCTCCCTCGCACAACTTCCCTGTGGAATCGATTACCACCAGCCATTTTTCCGAACCGATACGACTTAGGGACCTTCAAGAAAAGAGCTTACTCCTTTTTAAAAGGCCGGCAACACATCTGCGTTTCCCCTGTTTCCCCTGGTGTTGCAGTTGTTCATCGGCGGCGGTAGTCACTTACCATCAGGTGAGCCGCATGCTCGTTTGCCCCCTCTCCTATAAAAAAAATGTATGTACATATGACATGACATATATAATACGGAAATTTTAAAACAATGTTCAAACCATATTCTACTATAACAGCATGTACATTATGATACAAAAGAAGAAGAAAATAAACAAATACAATCATTGTCATTATCATAAAAATTACGAATTTATCATTAAAATAATAATTATTCAATTTATACTAGCATTTACTTAACTAATATATTTTTATTTATTTTTATTTAAAAGATGTATTCCAAAATTAGATTTAATTACTTATAAATTTTCAAAGTTTCAAGGATAATTAAAAAACTCGTAAAAAATTTAGGCTAAACATTTATAAAAACTTCGCCAAATATCATTAGTTTACTTTCAACGTTTACGGCATCATGCTTAAAATTTTATTCAAAGCATAATTAGTCCAAAACTCCATTTTAAAATATTTCAAAATACTGCAGAAAAAAACTAACTGTGTGAGTGTCGCATTCATCGCGATAGGCCATTAAAGATGTACCATCAGTTTATACTAGTTAAATCTATGAGTTATACATATTATGTATACTTCAATGGTAGTGTCGTAGTGCAGTTATTTGGAAATTCCTTATGTCCAAAATCGCATCACGCTTTAGTAAGCTTTGAAATAATGAATGATAATAAATGGTTAAAATCCCGTAAAATATTAAACATATATTAACGATTCCTTCTACATTTAATAAAAACAATTTAGTCAAATAATTGATTGTTATCGTTAAGAACTAAAAGCATATAACTTACGGCAGCCATTATGAGAACCCAAAGCGGAGCAGATCTTATCAACGCTCTAAATGGAACTGGATCCAATTTCTTATGTAATCCAGAAGCAGCCACGTTTTTGTTCAGATAATTTCTTTCTTCGTCGGAAATAAAAGGATGGGAATTAGGATTACTGTAGCATAAAAGCACCTGAAAATATTAAAACTCTTTGTAACACAATACTTCTGATATTAGTAGAGATAATATATATATATATATATATATATATATATATTACTTATATTACTTATATTATATACGTAATTTTATTGTATTTATATAAAAGAGCATATATCACAAACCTAAAACAACAAAGTAGCTAAGCGTAACTTCATAATAGCTATTTTACGGAGCTAAAAACTGTTTGCTTCGAATACTGTTGCGGTGTATCTTAAATCAATGGATAGCTTTAAATGTGCAAAATATAACTAAACAATAAAAAAGCAAGACCGATATTTTTTACGAACAAAAAATTCGGTCTTACTTACTAATTTTACTTTTTTTTAAGTTTAATTATTTTACCCTTTTGAACGGAATATCAAAAGTTAAATTTAACAACCAGAATATCGTTTTTGACGGTGGTGGTTGTGAGGTGATGAAGATTTTTGTGTACCTTTTTAAGTATTATAAATTAAAATCTTCGTCACCTATTTTTCCACCCTTATAGGTGGATTTTTCACATTGGTACACGTTCTTAATGAAAATTACTACGCAAGTATTTCACAAAAAGGCAAATGAAGTAGTTATTATTAAATCCGGACGTTTTTAGTGCTTTGCAGCACCCAGAGTCACCGGAGTGTCTAAGGGAAAGCATATAGATTCGTTCGAGCCTCTGTTGGTCACAGCCTTTCTTTCATTTAATAGGAATTTAAATTTATTTACTTACGAAAATGAAATAACGTAACTACGGACATTTCTACTATAAATAATAGGTTTCACCTCTTATTCATTTAGAAAATATATCCTGTGACAGGCGTAGGTTAATTACTAAAGCAATGTTTTTTTTAACAAATGGAGCATAAATGTGTCTTGTTTAATAGCGACACTGACATTTACACGACTTGAGCTGATTTTTCAATCCTCTGATAAAAGTCATTCATAGAATAATAAAGATGTATGTAACAGTTCTATGATTAAAATAATTCAATTGTTTTACTTTTATATTTATAGAATAAGGGTGACAAACTAGCACACAGTCCACCTGATGGTAAGTGGTTTCTGTGGCCCATGGACATCTATATCTATCTTCGTTTGCAAATTAAAATGCAGATGCGTGGTCAGCCGTGTGGACTAAGATGGAATGCGTCCTTTCCAGTAAAATGGGTCTCCGGTTCTCTACACTCACCATACGAAACACAGCAGCATGAATCTGCTATTTTACGCTGGTATTCTGTGAGAGCGTGGTCCTTCCCCGGTCGAGCCGACCCATTCGTGCTACACTACACACACTATTAATATAGCTGCAGCATGGCTTTACCACGTATAAAACTTTTATATTCAATCATCAATATATACAACATGTAATAAAAACTCTGTGGTTTTCGTTAAGTATATTATTAGAGTCAGTATTCAAACGTAAAAAATAAAATTTCTCAAAAAACTTGAACGTTAAAAAAATAATTTAATTTAAAAAAAATTGCGAATTGTATGTGGTTTTATTACCTCTGCATTATTCGGAGAATAAGAGTATTGTGAAAGTCCCCCCAACACCGATGCTCATGTCAGTTAGAGGTAATAAAATCCCATACAATTTGCAAGTTTTTTTATTAAAATTAAATTTTTTAAGGTTCAAGTTTTAAAAAAAAAGTTATTTCTTTACGTTTGAATACTGACTCTGATAACGTACTTAAAGCATATGAGTAAAAAAACCGTATCTAGAGGCAAAGCTTCTAAGGAGCTGTCAAAATTTATACCCATTTTGGTAGGGTCGGTACAAGACGATAAAATTAAATAAAGAAAACGTTTATCAAATTTTATTATATACTTGAGATAGAATATTTTTTTATAAATTTCATTTTCTAAATATTTTATTTTTATAATTTTTGTTCTTCAAGAATTTATTGTGCCTATTAATTAAATGATAAATTATAATCTAATGTAAAGTTTTTTTTTAATTAATTTATTAAAAAAAGCACTCTCATGGCATTACAAATATACAATCTTGCACGAGTTTTATAATATTTCAGTACCAATATATACAACACGAGGTCAAAATATTCGTGAAAATTTTGTTCAAGCAATTCATATATTAATTTCAGATACATTCTCACATTACATCACATGGAACTTGAATAAGCACTGTCGTTTGTTGGCAAGTTGAATAATGGAAAAGCGTTTCCAAATAAATATTTTTGGGTTCTTTTTTTAGAAAACTTAATACAGAATGTTTCAAAGTGATTCTCACATGTTATATGTTGTTGTCTTTTTCTATAATCAAAAAGTTTTAAAAGGAGATCTTCTTGTCCGACAGCTTTACCACTCTTGTTGTCTGAAATTATAATTAAATACACGAACCTATGTTTTTAATTTATAAACGTAATTATTCAATTATAAAGATTATAAAAATAACTATTCAAACATTTATAGGTAATTAGGTACTTTTACGTTTTCTTTCAATCTTGAGGTATATTCATGAGGTATCTATTTGCTACATAAAAATAATAAATTATACTCGTAGTTTAGTTATTACTTACCTAGTGGAGTCTTTAGGACAATTAAAAATGATATATTTTTATTTGTTCTATTATTATTCATACAAACAGTACAGTAAACCATATTTACACTTTTTTATATTTCATTTGATATGAATAATAATTATTTGAAAAATGAAATTTGACACTTATTATTCTCACATAACCCTGAATTTGAGCAGTGGCCGAGACGGTTTAGAGCAGTTTCTCTGTATGCGTGACGAGTCGCCAGTGCTCACGCACACACGCGCGTCTAGTTTGTAGTAGTCCAACTATCATAGCGCAGTTGTATGAAGCTTTGCCTCTGTACGGTACGGTTTCTTTACTCATGTGCTTAAAGGGAACCACAAGGTTTTTGTTACACGTTGTATATAAAAAGAGATGTCCCGATTCACTTACTTACTGTTATTACTGTCAGACGCATCAACGTCTAGCCCAAACCGTAGACCTAGAATAGTGAAATTTTGCACAGAGCTTCCTTTTATAATTTAGAAAAGTAATACAAAAATATGATATTAAAATATATAAAAAATATTTTTCGGAATTCCCACGGGATCGAAAATAAATAGGATTTATCATTTGGCTTTTAAGTTGCCATATTTTTGTAACTATAATTATTTAAGATTAAAAATTTGGCATGTTAGTAATTAATTATTATTTCTAATAACTGGCTTAAGGATTTTTCAAAATTTTTACGGGATGGGGAATAAAGAGGATTTATCTTTACACAAATTTTCAATGACTCTGTCCATATGCATTAATATTATACGTCTGTGGGTTTACGAGTAGCTTATAAGTCCAGTGTGCTACACACAGATACACCTATTCTAAAAAGATGGATAACTTTCGAAAAAGGGAAGGATTCTAAAATCAGCCGTTAGTAGATTGACTTCGCTTTTATTAGAAATTTATAAAGATATGTACTTGTAAATTATTGTTTTATTCTCCATTGGTTAAAAAAATGTAGGCGTAAATTCTTCGCGGATTTAAGAAATAAAAAATTAAGGTTTTCTACTTACGATTTTGTTTAATTAGGTATGCGATATACGAGTATAGCTCATAAACTTTCACAGTTTATTGTCAGCAGTTCATATTTTACAATTCGTCGATAAAAAAAATTTAATGAACAACATATTAAAATTTTATACATACATGATGGAAATAATACCTACCCAAAATATAAACCAAATCATTCCCAACCCACCAAAGACATAATATACATTAGCCCAATCGCCGCCATCTGCTAAAATTAGCCCCGAAATATAGGGACCAAAGATATTCCCAATCTGTGCACCTCCGAATATCATGGCCCCGAAACGCGACCTCTCCGGTGGGGGGATCCATCGTGCTAGTAAAAGTACGAAAGCAGGAATAACTGGACCCTTAAAATAAATACAATAAGTACTGTAATAACACCATTTTATGAACTTGTATAAACTTTGTAAGCTGGATGGATCTGGATACGTGTTTTAATATTTTCTTATCGATCAAAACGGATAAGAAACAGTTTCATTGTTATTATTATTATAGTAGGATTTTATTATTCTCATCTAGTTAGGGTGCATAAACAAATATATAAAGATATACTATAAACATAAATAAGACAGAAAGAAAGATAAAGTTAGTAAAAGAAACCGTAAAGGGATTGAGGAAACTAAAAGAAATCGACGGACAATGCGAGTGGTATAGCGAAGCACTATCTTAGCTTATTCTTTAATCCGGCGAAGCGAATTTTGAAACTTTACATAGCAGAGTCCCAGTCGTCTCAGATATCCCAAGATGGTGACCGAAATTAACATGTCCGCAAAAACGACTGCTGAAATAACTTCAGAAGTTAACAACCCAATTTTATCTGTCTTCTCGTGAGCAAGATCCAAATATTTTGCCTTCTTATATCTATTTCTGGCTTTCACGCTTAAAAGTCACGTCCGCTGTGTATCCGCAGCAAGTACAGTCTCATTAATCGGATGATACGAGTACAAATAGCTCCGTACGAGTGAGTCGTCGCAACCACGGAGCAAATACCAAGAGGAGATGGCATGAGCAACTGTGCACTGTGATTCTAACTAGGTCCTGACGTCATCACAGTGGGCGTGGCTTTACTTAGTATACTGTCAGCGTTCGTCCTGTGTGCTTATGTGTCGAAAATCGCAAATCGGTGTGTTTTCGTAGTATTAAGAAGAAAAGGATGAAGTGTAGTGTTTTATCGTGTAAAAAATAGTCAGATAGACGTTCTGATGCTATGGATGGCATCACATTTCATTTGTAAGTAATTTTATACCTAATTTATTAAAAAGGTTCTAGAAAAATCTCTGCGTCGGCTTTCAAATGTAATTAAATATATTTGACACTAGATGGCGACACTTTGTGTCCTAAGAACTAAAAATATAAAGGTATGTAGAGTACTCAGTATTGGTAAAATAATTATACGAAGGTGTTGAAATTTGTTTTGCATTCAGTCCTAAAGAATTTTTAATCGCCAAAATATTATTTTTATAGTTTTTATAATAATTTTGTGAACAGACCGCCAGCTATCGTCAAGGTAGCTAAATTTACATTGCAAAATCGATATGGAACAATGCGAGTAGTTTTACTATTTATTGGTTGATGGAAAATAGTAAAGTGGGCGAGGCTTAACACCCCCTCATCCCGCAAATCGTCACGCGTTGTTACATAGTGAAATCTAATTAAAACACCTCCTCTTTGTATTTGCTTCGTCGTCGCAACAGCGCTGACTTTTTTGTTCAGCGCATCAGTCCAATGTTCCATCTGAGTCCACCAAAGTACTATGTCAAAGATATACATAATCACTATATATAAAAATGTATATAATAAAAATATTATTGTTATTTTCGTTACATGAAGAAATTAAATAAAATATTATTTATAAAATTAATTTTCATTATTATATACGTGACGTACGCATGAAATAAATCTTAAAGTTACCGTAATATTGTATAATACTAAAGGTACACGCAAAATACGTGCATAGACGTAGAGTTGCGGAAAACAGCCCGTCGAAATCTAAATACTAAAGGTATATTATATCTATGACTAAAATTATCGCATGAAATATTACCTCTCCAAAACCTTGTATTACCCTTATACAAAATAAACCAATAGCGCCCCACAAGCTCACTACCCATGGAGTTAATGCTGTTGCTACTGATGAACATAATATTCCCAAGCCAAGAATCCATTTCCCTCCAAACTTTTCAGCCACCAATCCGCCTGGTAAATGTGTTATCACGTATCCATAGTAAAAGGCACTAAGCAGTAATCCTTGCGTTGTTTCGTCCCAATCGTAGCGATCCCGGCCCTATAATAGATAAAAAACCTTATTCATAACAGGCCAAATATTTGATGAGATTTTGTACTAAAATACACGCACTGCATTAAAATTCGTCGCTAGATTCATGTTAAAAGTTCTCGTTATCTACTTTTTTTATTCGGAGCTCTAAATTCTAAATATTGAACATAAAATGGTTTACGATTTTTTTCTTATTTAATTTCGTACAACAACCTATGTTTAGTTTTGAGCGTAGTTTCTTCTAGGTTGGGTCTATTAAAGTGGCGTTTTAGACTGAGGATAATCAAAGACCATTTCTTTCAACAACTTTCCAAGAAATTCCCAAGATTTTTGCATAAAATATAGCCTTGATAGTGATCTAGGCACCTGGCATTGCTACCTGTTTGTTATGTTTTATTACAATTGTTTAAGCGATTCCGAAGATTAGCCCGGATAGACAAAAAAAATATAGAAAGGTTATTGAAAAAAAGTTCTTTATCGGACGGTTGATGATTTATCGGACGGACTCCATGGAGGCTAGGCGAGAAAAAGTTAAAGAAAAAGTGTAAAATTTTCCGTCACAACCCCTTCTGATGTAGTGTAGACGGCATTGGTGGCTATAAGGAAGCGCGATGGAATAATATCCTTCTACCTCGCACTTTTTCTTATCTTGCCATGAAAGAAATATTATTTTATTTTAAATGACGCTTTATTTTAATAGACACTAGTAATTCATTTATTTCTATTTGTAAATCAATAATATAATAGTACGTTTATCAATAATAATATATTAGAAGCGTCAGTAGCCTAATAACAGGGCGCCGACCGCGAACTCGAAGCGTTCAAATCCGTCATTCGACTACTGTCATATTATGCTGCTTAGCATGACTATTGTTGATGAGGTTTTAGTTTATTAATCAACTCATTTTAAAAATAAAATGCAGATCCATTTACATATAAGATTAGCCAAATGTTGAATGGGAGATATCATTTTGTTACCTAAATAGAAATTACGTCGCTCAAGTAACATAATATGCATATATCAAGCAACAAGTGATAAATAAAATTAGTGTTTATTAGTCACTGCTTTCCAACTGTCAGTCGCTCAGTATTTAAATACTTGTTTGTAACTTTTCTGATCAGCAAACTTGCGTGAACAAACTTGCGGCCACTGCAGTCCATGGACTAAGATAGAATGTCTCACAAAAACTGGTTTTTAAATATTTTTGAGACATTGAATTTGAATTTAAGATCACTATTCTTTTAAATACTTGCCTTTTTTAAAAGACAATAAAAACAAATTTTATACATAAATATAAATAATTCGTAATTTTGGCTTATACCTTTTTCTCATACGGGCTCAAACTTTTTTAAATCTATTTAGGTATGAATAATATTTTATTTGTTGGTTCGTCTTCTGCCATACCATTTGACTGTCCCGCTGTAAGCGTTACTGTTCGCGTAAGCGATCATGTGTTCTGTGTTCATATACCGGGTCGAGCAAAAATCAATTCTTAGAGTTTTCTGTCAAAACATTCTCAGTAACAGCCCGGAGTCAGGAAGTTTACACTGTGTTATTCCCGTGCCTCATAAAGCACTAAAATCCGTCGGTTTTGCGATTGATCTCTGTCCGGTTGTGTCAGATTGTAACCCAATGGGACTACGATGATGAGGGCATTGGGTTAGCCTGCGTTTGCGCACACACTATAATCCTGTCCTATGCTGAGGCTGACCGCCGTGACCGAAATTTAGTCTTGAGGATATTTTGTAGAGCCGACTTCAATATAAGTATTAAGAATATCTCAAAAACTATTGGTCTGACCTCGATCAAATTCATATGGGACCACACGAAAAGTATCAGTTTTAAAATAAAAAAATAATCATCGAAATCGGTTCACCCAGTAAAAAGTGATGAGGTAACACACAAAAAAAAATAGTCGAATTGAGTACCGTCTGCTTTTTGGAAGTCGACAGAAAAGAGGCAATGCGGCGAGTACTTGGCACAGCTAGTTATTTATAAATATTGACTTAAAACTGTTTTCTTACAGCAAGGATTATAACTTTCAATGATACCTCTTTTTTATTTATTTCAGATAACAACATAAAAGGGATATTTACTATAGTTGTCGCACCTGACAAGCGAAGTAGCAACACCTTTTTTATTATTTTGAGTTGATATCAGAAAGATACTGATACTTTTTTCAATTGTTTGTTTTGACACTACCTTTTTTTCTGCATTTCCGTAATTTTTCCATGTTATTGTAATTCTTAAAAATTCTTTCACAGCACATTTACACACAGCACAGTCTGAATTTGTCTATTAAAGCATTCCAGTTGAAATTATTGAAAATGCCTATATATTCAGTAGCATATTAATAAAGGTAAACAAAGGTGACATAACATTGGTTTGGACTTAACTACCTCTCAAGATAAGAACCTATACAAATAAATAAAATTTAATAAATACGCTAATCTCCGAAATGGCTACACCGATTTTGACTGGACTTTTACTGGCAGATAGCAGATGTTATAAAGAGTAAGTTAGGCTACTTTTTTTAACCGACTTCAAAAAGGAGGAGGTTCTCAATTCGAGTGTATGTTTTTTTTGTACGCATGTTACGCAATATCTTCGCAGATTGTGAACCAATTTTGAATCTTTTTTAAATAAAAATTATACTTCAAGAGTTGTCCAAAAAATTTCATTCCTAGGGTAGCAAAAAAATTACTTATTTTTTAGCAACTTGAAGTCGGTTTTTAATTTTTGTTAAAAGTTATGATTATAATTACGTTACCTTTTTATAAGATAAGGGTGAGAAACGAACACAGTCCACCTGATGGTAAGTGGTTTCTGTGGCCCATGGATATCTACATCTATCCTCAAATATGAATCAAAATACAGATGCTTTGTCACCCATGAGGACTAAGATGGAATGCCTCGTTTCCAGAAAATAGGGTCTCCGGTTCTCACTTTTTTTTATACGATAAGGGTGACAAACGAGCACACAGTCCACCTGATGGTAAGTGGTTGCTGCGGCCCATAGATATCTACATCTATCCTTTGTTACAAATTAAAATGTAGATGCGTTATCACCCGTGAGGACTAAGATGGAATGCCTCATTTCCAGTAAAAAGGGCCTCCGGCCACTTGCACTCACCAAGCGAAACGCAGAGGTAAACCTCTACTTCAGGCTGGTTTTCTGTGAGGTCGTGGTACTATCCCGGTTCGAGCCGGCCCATTCGTGCGACAGCAAAAGCTGCCGCGTGGCTCTACCACTGGCTCTACAACTGTCTCTACACACACCAAACGAAAAAGTAGCGTTAAGCTGCTATTTTACGCTGGTGTTCTGTGAAAGCGTGGTCCTTCCCCTGTCAAACCGACCCATTCGTGTTACAACTTTAAAAGTAATATAGCTTTAGCATGGCTCTACCACGTGAAAAAATTACAATTACTTCAGAAAAGAATTAAGATACCGCAAAAAAATTAAAACCTATTAAATCGTAATATAATTCCACGCGGACGTAGTCGTGGGAACAGCTAGTATTCAATAAATGGGGCTAACACTGATCTTCTTTTTCATCAACCTTTAAAGTCCACTGTTAGACATGGATATCTTCTCTTATAGTTATCAGTTATTATTAAAGTTAGCTTATGCGAACTTGGCATATTATAACATTAAATACCTTAAAAGTGACCGAGCTATTGCTTGACCCAGCTGCAGTGACGTTGTTATTATCAGGACATGTTTCACCCACAATGTGTTGGGATAATTGAGTGTGTAGCACCATTTGTGTGATAGTCATGTTTAAACAAACTCGCATAGTTAATGAGTTCGCCAAGGCAAAGAGTCCCATGATACCCAGAACGTAACGTTGAGGTATAAAAATAACTAGAAAAATACAAGAAATACCGTATCAATCAAGAAAAAAATAAATTTTTTTATAGGATAGGGTAAGAAACGAGCACGCAGTCCACCTGATGGTAAGTGGTTGCTGTGGCCCATAGACATCTACAACTATCCTCGTTTGGGAAAAAATGCAGATGCGTTGTCACCCGTGAGGACTAAGATGGAATGCCTCATTTCCAGTAAAAAGGGTCTCCGATGCTCTACACTCACCATACGAAACACAGCAGTGTTAAGCTGCTATTTTACGCTGGTATTCTGTGAGAGCGTGGTCCTTCCCTGATCGAGCCGACCCATTCATGCTACAACTATACTACTAATATAGCTGCAGCATGGCTCTACCACGTACAATAAAGGAATAAAAATTAATAACGGTCATATACACCTCACATGAAAACAAAAATGGTTGTAGATAGTTCGTTTCAAAGTAAAGTGATGGCGTATATAGTTAATGAAAAGGATTCGGCTCAGTTTAATGCTGCAGAGACAGAGATGCTGGAAGAAACAGATTAGCTGGAAGCTCAAGGTTGAGCTTCTTTTAATTGTAATAAATACTTTTTATAACATGATTTAAAATTAAACTTCTAATTACATTTACGTAAGTAATAAAATTTTGAAGAATTTGATTCCAGCATCTAGGATCTACATATTTTAAACTACCATAGCATCATCATTATCAAAATGCCAGCGTAAATCTTCATTCATATATTTAAATCAACTTTAATTATAAGTTGTGAACAGTTTATAATTAAAGTTGATGTAAATATATGGACATCGTCATCGTGTTCTTCATTACAGCCTACCAAAAGCTCACTGCTGAGCATAGACATTCCCCATACAAATGCAATTTGAAATAAAAAAATCATTCCAAAACATTTTTTTAATAGCATTTACCAATATTTGTGGTCAGTATGTACGATAATTACAATAAGATAAATTTAAACCTTTTATTTGCGTTCCTCTTAAGTTCATTAGTGTATATTCATCCTGAGCATCTGAAAATTCCTGTACTACAGCAACTACTGCTTCATTATGAAATTTTTGTCTATCTATCATATCTTTGCCCTTTCACGTATGCTTTGAAACTCGTAAATATAGATAAAATTGCAAGGAGCAAGGTGTGGTGAATATAGACAACTTTGTTATGCATTTTTTTATTTTTTTTTAATGTGTGTTGTTGCATTGCCCGTTACAGTAGCTTCACGGTTGAGATGTTAAATAATCACTACTACGGGCGAGGGTCATCTTTGGTGGACGTTGATTCACTTAAGTTAAATGCGGTGCATCAACGTGAAACTATAGAATATGGCGAACCGTTTACCCCTTATGTGTCCCATAAATCTTAATAGAATTTTTCCGTTGTGAAATTTACTTTGACACAAGTGCTTAATAACAGCTTGTAGGCCACACCATCCTCTAATAAATAACTTATATATTTAATAAACAAGAGATAAGAATGCCCGCATGCATTATGTCAGCCTATACACCATATATATTGAATCAAGTTAAATATGTATATAAATATAATATTCTAATTGTTTAAGTTTACCCGAGTACAAATCCAGAGTAAGAACCTGTGTGAAAGACAGGGTGACGTTATATCCCCGAAACTCTTCATTGCTGCATTGGAAGACGTTTCAAGCTACTTGAATGAAAATGGTATTAACATCAATGGTGAGTACATCACTCACCTTAGATTTGCCGACGATATAGTCCTTATGACAGAATCGCTAGAGGGCCTAAGTCCTATGATCCATGACCTCAATAGTATCTCTTAACGCATAGGTAACAAGTACGTGTACAAAACAAAGATCTAGTGTAACATCCATTTCATACCTATGCCAGTAGTTGTTGGGAGCCCTAAGCTCGATGTTGTTGACTAGTATGTTTACCTAAGACGAATAGTCCGACTAGGTAAGTCCAACTTTAAAGAAGAGGTCAATCGACGGAATCAACTCGGCTGAGCAGCCTTTGACACATCTTCTCGTCAGGTATACCTCAAAACTTAAAAACGAGATTGTACAACCAGTGCGTGTCGCCAGTTATGACTTATGGACCTGAGACGTGGTACTCCGCTGCTAGCCGTATGAGGAAGCTCTAGGTCCCTCAGCGAGCTATGGGGAGGGCTATGCTCGGGGTTTCTCAACCTGATAAACTAAGAAATAAGGTTATCAGCAGTAGACAGACATAGCCCAACGGATTAGTAAGCTGAAGTGGGCAAAATCAACAAGGTTGTGTGGAGAGCAAATAAAATCAAACTACGAGTACATTATCAACTTCAACCTTCCGTTATGAGAACGATATGAGATTATTGAAAAATACGTAAACATACCTCTGTTCAAAATTGATCGCCATGCTTTTAAGGTCATTTAATTCAAAATTATTACACAGTCAAATGTATCATAAAACACGTCACCTATTCAAATATATTGTAACTACACCACACACTTAACGAAAATATAGTTTTACTTGTTCGATAACATTACAGTATCATAGATATTATACGCGTATGATGCGAGACCTGTCAATTCACAACACCAGTACTGATATTAGGTACACAGTTTACTCATCTACTAGTATTAACATAGAAAAGAGATGGCTAAGATGTAAATACGTACGTGATAAATCTTATCTTTTTTATTTCGTAAAAAATAACGTAACAAATATGTTATTCAGTTATTAAATATAGTAAAGCAATCAATTTATAATCAATTGTAAAGTGGAATGATATCGAATTTTATTTTGACAAAAAAAATTAAAACGCAAAACTCATAATTCAAAGTCAAAAATCAAATTCCATTTTTTTATAGGTATTTTTTTATTTGTAAGCATTAATAATTAATTTCCTTGCATAGGTGGTCAACTTTATTATCAACTAAATGCGCTCGCTATTTCATACGCACAAACAGGATTTTTTATCATCAGCGTATTCTTCTAATATTGTTGAAATTAAACTCATTTTGTGTATTAGGTAATAACTTCTTACCTTTAAGCCAATAAAAAGTCTACTGCTCAACACAAACCTCCCCATTGATTGCCTGATAATAACAATAGTACATATCACCCAAATTTTTTATAACTTTTTGTGTTAGTTGCCACGCTTGGCAGGCGAATTGGCAACTCATACACATAATTATATGCTGCATTTTTGGAGAATGTCTTAAGGCATTAAGGCCACCATATGTACGATTTTTCTTTTCTACATAAAAGTTTAAATAAGTAAATAAATTTGTTTCCGTTGGTCGTCGCTAACGACACAAAGGAAACGATATGAGATAGTGTATATCTTACACCGCCACTAGATAATTTAACTTCTTTATTATCTTCATTTACATACCCAAATTGCTTCGTACCTCTCTGATAAATTAAAGGAGGTCTATACACTACAGTGGGAGGTAATATAAGCTGTAACTTTACATTTTTTAAATACTTAATACATTACCCGACGCACTTTGTTTGATATTGTCTTAAATTAGAATACGGAATACTAAAATAAAGAGTTACATTGCATTGAGCATTAATAAAGGATAACGACAAGTACTGGCTTTTTGAAGAAAACAAGCGATAAGGCATAGAATTAATCAGTTTTGAAATTGTGAAATTGTGAGATCATCTTCCATTCCTCTTCTATAACAGTTTTCAGTTGCTGTATCATCAGTGCAGCAGGCTGGCGATTCCGAACACGCCTTTTCAACTCGTTGTGTTTGTGAGTGTTCGATTTAGTTCATATGTGGTTTCTTGCTGGTCAGCCCATGAGTTCGATACCCACTTATGAAAGATGATCCTGGAGTATGCCGGTCAGTATGCGCCCTTGCATATTTATGCATGAAAATGAAATTTGAATCCACATAGACAGCGTAAGGCATCACGTGAGATTCTAAACAATGGCAAACCCTGCCTCCTTCCATCATTACCGTGTAGCGTGAATTTAAATTTATCGGTGTAGAGTACTTAGCACCAATATTGCTGAGTCATCTGTTAATGAGTACGCGCAAACTGACGACGCGCTACTCGTTGAGATGGCGTTAGTTTGCAAGTTTTTTTTTTAACTTTCTTCAAATAGTTCGAGCGCTCCCAGATTCCCCGTGAAAGTCGCAAAGTAGGTTTTGAATCTGAACTGGTGACCGTTTCTCAAGCTGGTCGTAAAGATGAACCGATCTTGCCTTTTGCTTGTGACTCGAGATCATGGTCTTTCTTGACGACGAATGAAGCCGCTAGTCAAAAATTTCTTCTGATAAACTCTCCAAACAGAATTTGTGCACTCACGTTTCACTGGCTAAGCCCGACCGTCAAGCAAAATAGTACCTAAACAGATTTAATATAGTTGAAAAAACACATGTCCTTGCAACAACACAAATTTTTATTCAATCTTTCGTCTTCTTACAGACTGTCCTAAATATCAAGATTGCGCCAATTCAATGAAAAAAAAAAACATTTATGAAACCTTCAAATGAAATGACAAATAAAAGAATAATATTTCACGGCAAATGATTTATTTAATATGATCATTTTCAACCACAAATGCGGCATAAAATATAAGGTAAAAGTTTAATTTTATAGCAAATAAATGTTACAATCCTTATTTATAGACTTAATTTTAGTGTAATAAATCAAAATAATATTTGCTTTCTAATAAAAATGCTTTGTAATAGCGCTATCTACTTCTTTTTTATAGGTAGAGTCTTTTTATCGACGAAATTCGATTGACTCTCAAGGTGGTACTTACAATAGACGCTAGATGGCATGAATTTATGAAATCGTGGATGGATTGGTATAAGAAAATTTTATTCAATATGTTTCACTTTCTTTATATAATAAATTTGTAAATTTTTTATATTGTTTATTTTAACAGTTATAATTTATGTTAACCATATTTAAACTAAAATTATGGTGTTATGTGTCGGTAGAATTAGCTTGCTTGCTAAACGAAGCTATCTCGGGTGGATAGCGGTTAATGACAGAAGAAAAATATCATTAAATAAATAAATCATGTGGTATGATATGCATTACAAAAGATATTATACAGGTAGTACTATGGTAGATACTACATACGTAAGTACAAGAAGGCGGTGCGAGAAAGCTATATTATAACTAGCTGACCAGACAGATGTTGTTCTGCCCTTTGCGACGATCATTTGCTTTCCTAAGAAAAAACTCCTGAGATTAGCAATAAAAAAATTGAGGAAAAAAACTATCCTATCTCTCAAGTTGGACCAAACTGCACACAGTGTGCAAAATTTCATTGGAATCAGTTCAGTACTTTAGGAGTTCATCGCGGACAAACAATGTGACACGTAATTTTTATATATAAAGATTAATATAATTTAATAATTTTTACGTTGGTTACCAAGGTTGTACGCGGTCGCCTACGGCTGAAAATAATAGGTAATTAGCGAAAACAACAAGCCTGAGGTATAGCACAAATGTTTTATGTTGATTATCAAATTATTAATAAAAATAAAGAATACATTTTTCTTGCATTGTTTAATACATAATTTAATTTTGAAATTTAATATGGTTATTAAGTTTTATTAATTTTTTTGATTGTTAAATATTCTAAAATTAACAACGAATAAAACGTTAAACTATGTTAAATGCCAGAATGCTGAAACCGTTTAATTATTTTTAAATGTAATTTTTATCAATTTTTTAAATTTTGAAGACATATAATAGATAGCTCGTTTTTTTATATACCTAGTTACTAAATTTCTTACCCGTTTTTTACCATATATTATTATTAAGATTTTTAAATGTGTGTGATGTGGCTCTACACTTACTCTTCATTTGTGTTACTTTTTTGTCACGATAACACAAAATAAGCACAATAGAAATGTACATTAATTTTGAAATCCACCCCTGTCGATGGGCTTGCATACAAGGCAATGATACGATATGTTTTTTATTCCTTGGATAATTTCAGTTTTCGTTTTATTAAGAGGCTCGTGTGCACCTCTTTCGTCATTTACATCAAAACTCGTCATGTCGTTCCATTTATTGATTGCATCAATTGTTACTGCAGGAATAATACTTAAATTATTTCTTAAAAACTTCTGACATACCAGCTTTTTTATATTTTGCTTAGAAAAGAAACATTTTTTTTGTAAATTTTTTTCTGGACGACGCCGATTACTTCCAGGGAGAACTCTTTTTGGTATTTAAGTGGTGACATTGGCTAAAATAAAATTCTTTCTTCCCTCAAAGTCTGGATCGGAGTATTGGAATTTATCCAATACAATCTACGAAACTTATCTCTTATCAGTAGTATCAAAGATGTTAGAACACTTAAATTGGCGCTTGAAGCAATCTATTTCTTTAGGTACCTTAGTCGGTCTGACGTTCGCTATAGATTTATAAGGCAAACCATATGCTTGTCTTTTTTAGCTACATTACGAGGCCAACTACTTGGGTCTGATTTTCGCCATCTTTTTAATGGTTCAATTTGTAACCAAGCTTTTTTGAAAACCTCATCCAAAATATTTTCAATTATTGATATTATTTCGCAGTATTGCGAGTAATCTTGGTCTTTTGGTCGGTTTTACATGTTAACGATCTGAGACCAATCTAATATTTTAGTACAGGCATTTACAATTAAAGTTATATAGAAGGTTTTTGCAGTAAAGTTTAATGGCAAGGTAAACAAAATTATTCCATTATATACGTTTATCTTCCTCTAGTATTTTTTTACTGAATGTCCTTGAGAACATATTGCATAACTTATCAAAAATAAAAAAGGTATTAAGAATGCTTAAAACATTTTTCAGGATAACATTAGGAGGAAATATATTAACAAAGAAATTTATGTTATTTTATATATTAACTATAAACAGTCTTGCTTGATATAATTGGTGTTACCATGAAAAAAAATCTAAATGGCTTAACGTATCACTTGACTGGTTTTACCAACATATAGAGCTCAAAAAAATATTACCGTTATGTATTTATCTCATTTTTTGAAAAATTATCATTTAGCAGGTTTTTGCGGTAAAACTGCAATATTTTCTTCATGAGACGACTTAACCAGCATCTGATACAGCATATTGAATCATTCACCCTGTTGATAATCTAAGAGTCAGTGAGCGGCAGACTTACGGTATTTCAATAAGCTTCACTTTTTTTCAGTTAATCCCATATATACCTGAGGTAAATAAGTTTACAAGTTTCACATCTGAGCGCCTCTATATCAACCACCGGTCAAACTAAAGATACCCGATTTCACGTACCTTAGGTATTGAAATACCGTAAGTCTGCCGATCACTGGCTCTAAGACCATGATGAATCAGGCAACCAACGAATATCATTCTGATCTTTAATCTATTTTAAATGTCGAACCTAAACCCTATAGCCAGGTTACGGAGGGTAGTAGAGAGTG